TATTTAAGGACAAAGAGGGTATTTGTTTTGCTTTGCCACTTTTGGGGTGCAAAGGTATAGGATATAGTATTTGCCCACCTTAAACTTAAGTATTTACAGATTTACAAATATGTAAGTTTCAGGTGAGCAAATACTATAAATTCATTCTAGAAATATTAACTCAGTGCTCCAAGAAGCCAGGCATTGTGAGGTACAAAAATAAATCTCTTTTTTAAAATTCATTTTAATTGGCAGTATATGAAAAATGCAAAATTCTAATGTAAAATAAAATAAGACAGAAGTAATAAAGTGCTATGAAAAGTGTTATTGCCTGGGGACCAGCAGTTAGCATAATGGCTATGTCGCTGGACTCCTATGTAGTCGACTGTGGTTCAAGTCCCGGACCCGGTGGCTTAAATTCACGCTGGGCGCGTGTGTGTGCGTGCCCAAGATCCTGAGAGGAGAATGGAGGAGACGGGATTGCGGCATGGCCATCCCCCCTGGGGGGTGATTTCTTGTCAGACAGACAGACAGAGAGGCAGAAAGTGAGAAATCACCCCCCGGGGGGTTGGCCACGCCACAATCCCTTCTCCTTCATTCTTCTCTCAGGATCTTGGGCACACACACACACACACACACGCACCCAGTGTGAGGATAAGCCACTGGGTCTGGGACTTGAACCGTGGCCGACTACATGGGAGTCCAGCGACATAGCCAGTACGCCAACTGCTGGTCCCTATTCATTTATTTTAATTTGACCAGAGAGAGACATACAAAAAGAGAGGGAAAGGGGAAAAGCAAGCCACCAGGTCCGACACTGAATGGTTGGCCATTTGGGAGTGTCCAGCGCCTTCACCACACCACCTGCTGGCCCCAGTCCCTCTTAATTCCCTGGAGAGTAGGATATACTAAGAAGGTAAGCTTTGTTATGCAGACTCAGATTTCATTGAAGCAGAACTCTGATGTAGGGAGACAAGGAGAAAGGCAGACTGACTAAACATGAAATGAATGTGTAACCTATTCCATGACTGCACCCACAGAGCATTTATTTAATGATCTGTCATCACTCAGAAGCAGGTTTCTAAAAACTGTCATAAGACTCTATAAGAATGAGAGGAGAAGAATCTGTTTTCATTCCAAAAACATTTTCAGAGTGCCTGTCATTTCCAGCACTATGCTATGTATAATTCAGCTGTGGATTCCACTAGGGACTCCACTATGAATGAGCACCTAACAGACTGCTAGGGAAGAGAGATGTGTAGGTAACTACTGCTGTGATTTAAGTGATATTGTCAAGGTGAGCCCAGATCGGAAAGATATTTTGAGTAAGAATTTATTAAATTATATTGCCATTATATACAACTCTACCAAATACTTTAAGGAGCAGTTTTTTTGTTTGGGGATTTTTTAAAGGTTTTTGTCATAGAGTGTGTGCCCTCGCCAGAGAGAGGCAGAGCTAGGGAAAGTGAGAAATCACTCATCAAGGGGGATGACCATGCCGCAGTCTTCTCCTCCAGTCTCCTCCAGGCATTTGGGGCACGTAGACATGTTGTGCTTGATTTTCAGGCCATCAGGTCCAGGACTCAAACCATGGTCGGCCATATGGGAGTCAGTCTTAACCACTACATCACCTGCTGGCCACTAGGGGGCAGTTTTATGGGGAACTTTAAGAACAGAATTTTATGGTCTAAGAAAGTATTTTTAATTTGAAAATAATGCATTTACATTAAGGCATATTTCAACTTCATAGGAAGGCAAAACAAAATGTTATCCTACAAGGAAAAAAATTACATCATTATTTTCATATTGTGTTCTGAAGATATAAAGGAAAAACAAGTTCAGTTTCTACCACTATACTCTCAGAAACACAACACAGAACTTTTCCATGAACAAATAGTTGGGGATTTTTTTTTCCCCTGCATATCAAGTAAGTAATCATTTCTGCATCGGCAACCGAGTGTCCTCTAATTCAATTTAATTCTGATACTATATACCTGAAGATAGCGTCTGATCAAGGGCTCAGAGCTTAATACCCGATGCCAGTTCCAAACTCTAGGGTTTTTGCCTGTGCTCCTGACTAGTCCACTATAAATTGGGGTTCTCGACCCCCTCCTGGAGTTCAATTAATTTGTTAGAGTGCCTTACAGAATTTAGGGAAACACTACTTAACATTTACTAGTGTATTATAAATGATATTACAAAGAATACAGATGAAGAGGTGCTTAAAAGCAAGGCGTGTGGTAAGGGCTGGGGAACTTCCATGCCCTCTGGGTGTGCTACCCTCCAGGAATCTTCGCATGTTCTGCTATCTGGAAGCTCTCCAAGCCCTCTCCTTTTGGGGTTTTATGACGGCTTTATTACATAGCCATGATTGATTAAATAATTGGCCACTGGTGACCAATTTAACCTTTAGTCCCTGCCCCTCCTCAGAGCTGTGGTGGGAAGGGCAGAAAGTCCCAACTCTCTAATCCTACTTTGGTGTTTCTGTTAATCAGCCCCTACCTAGGGGCTGCCAACCATTGGCCAATTCATTAGCATAATAAAAGGTACTTATCACTTTGAAGAGTCTGAGAATTTTAGTAGTTTCTGCTAGGAAGGGACAAAGACCAAATACAGCCAGCCCTCTGTATTCTAGGGTACTGTATCCATATATTTGATCAACATTGGCTTGAGAACGTTATGTTTTAATGTGTACTTTGTAGGCCTATAATGGTTGCATTTGTACTGAACATGTACAGACTTTTAAAAAAAATTTGACCTAAATAGTATAGTATAGCAACTATTTACAAAGCATTTACATTGTATTGGGTATTATAAGTAATCTAGAGATGGTGCTGGCCCATGGTGTGGTGATTAAGGGCTCTGGTCTCCCACATGGCTGACTTCAGTTTGAGTCCTGGACCTGGTGGCTTGCTTCTCGCTTTCCCTCTCTCTCTCTCTCTTTCATTCTGTCCCTCTCTAGTCAAATTAAAATAAATACATAAACAAAGTTAAATAAGATCATTCTTTTAAAAATATAATAAGTAATCTAGAGATGATTTAAAGAGCACAAGAGAGGTCAGCAGATGGCATGGTGTTTAAGGAGCTAGACTCCCACATGGTTAACCACAGTTCGAGTCCCAGACCTGGCAGCTTACTTTCTCAGTTTCTCTCTCTCTCTCTTTCTCTCTCTCTCATTTGTGTGTCTCTCTCTGGTGAGCACACATGCCCTATAAAGAATTGGATAGATAAATAAATAAATAAATAAATAAATAAATAAATAAATAAATAAAATTAAATAACTTTGGTGGAGATTTTTACTATAGGGCACGTATACTACATATACTTGCCAGAGACAGAAAGTGAGCAATCAGCCCCTGGGGGGAGAGCCATGTGCAATCCACAATCCCTTCTCCAGTCTCATCTTGAGATGTGGGGCATGTACACACACGCACCTGGTGTACATGTGGTAAACATGCGATACAAGTTTTAAGTCGCCAGGTCCAGGACTCAAACTGCAATCGGCCATTTCTGGAAGTTGCTGAATGTTCAGCAATGTGACCACTGTGCCATCTGCTTGTCCCTAAATAAATAATTCTTTAAAAATAAATAAATAAATTCACATTAAAATATATACAAATATTATGTCATTTAATACAAAAGACTTGAACATGCACAGATTATTAAATCCTGAGATGGTGGGTCCCTGGCCCCAATCCCCTATAGATAACAAGGGACCACAGTTCTTGTAATTTTAATTTTGAATATTTTAAATCATCTCAGGCTACCCAGTGACTTAAAAAATATACTGGATATATGTGCATGTGTGCCCAAAATCCTTAGAGAATGGAAAAGTCGAGGAAAGAGGATTGTGGCATGACCATTCCCTGTTGGAGAGGTGCTTTCTCTCTGTCTGTCTCTCTCTCTGTCTCTCTCTCTCTCTCATCAAGACAGGACACTCTGGCAATTAAAAAATAAATCATTTCAGGGGCAACAAGTGGCGTGGTGGTTAAAGGTGCTGGATTCCCACGTGGCCAACTGTGGTTCAGGTCACAGACCAGGTGGCTTGTTTTCTTGTTTTCTCTTTCTCTCTCTCTGCTTCTGTCTAGTCAAATTGAAAAATATTAAAAACAAATGGAATTAAATAAATAAATAATTCTTTTTAAAAAATCATCTCTAGAATACTTATAAAACCCATCTAAATGCTATGTGAATAGTCGTTATACTGTATTGGTTAGGGAAAACTAACCAAAACAAGTTAGTACATTTTCAGTACATTTGCAACCATCATAGACCTATCAATGCATAGTATATGTCACCAACAATATAACATTTTTTTAAAGAATTATTTATTTATTATTATTCAGTTTGACCAGAGGGAAAGACAGAGTGAGAAAGCAAGCTGCCAGGTTCAAGACTCAGACCGCAGTCAGCCATGTGGAGTCCAGCACCTTAACCACCATGCCACCTGCCGGCCCAGTATAACATTTTTCATCCACCACTGGTTGGATTCAGGGTTGTGGAACTCAGTGATACTGAGGGTCAAATGTATATTTCACAGTATTGCATGGATATTTTCTTCTAAGCTTTTTTCCTCTAGACCTTGAAAGAAGATACCAACTAAGATTTAAGTAAACATGAAACCAGTATTAGGTCTGTTACACTAAGAGTGAAGTACTGGGGGCCAGCAGGCGGTGTGTGGTGGATAAGGGCACTGGATTCCCACATGGCCAACCATGGTTCAAGTCCCAGATTTGGTGGCTTGCTTTCTCGTTTTTCCCTTTCTCTCTCTCTCTCTCTCTTTCTCTCTGGTGGTCAAATCAAAAAAACTAACAATAACAAATGGAATTAAATAAATAAATAATTCTTTTTTAAAAAAGTGAAGTACTGATTCCTGTCTCCTACAATTCATAGTTGACAAAGCCCACTCATATTAAAGCAGGATAAATTATCTATATTTGAATATGCTCACAAAGTGCCCACCAGCTAAATGTGTACCATGTGAACTCAAAGGATTCATATCACCGTTCCATTCCTCACAGGAGCCCCTGACCCCACAGCTGGAGCCAGCATTGATGATGAGAACTGTTGGCATCTGGATGAAGAACAAGTAAAAGAACAAGTGAAGCTCTTTCTCTCCCAGGGGGGTTACTATGGCTCTGGAAAGCAGCTCAACTCAATGTTTGCCAAGGTAATATATGAAAAAGGTTTTCCAGTTTTCGAAATGTTCTTTTTATTTTTAAAAATATTTATTGATTTATTTATCCATTATTATTTTTCAATTTGAATGGAGAGAGAGAAGGGGAAACCATGAAAGCTAGACACCAGGTCCAGGACCTGAACCACGTTTGGCCATGTGAGAATCCTGCACCATTAACCACCACACCATCTGCTGGCCCCTTGAAATGTTCTTTTGTAAACTAGGCTCACCACACTTCTGGCTTTGTACCCACCTCACTTAATCTAGTTGTACCGAATGCTTGAAGCCAAGTGGAGAGGCTACTTAAAGCGGATGAGCGTGCTGTATCCGGGGAATCCTATTACTACATCCTGGTAGTCTGGTAGTCCTGTTCCTTCTCTGTTTCACTAAATAGGTTAGGATTGCTGAAGAGGTTTTAGCAAGAAAAGTACCTTTTCTCTGCTTTGAATCTAAGGCTGCCTAGTGAAACTGAAGATCAGAGTTTTACCAGTGTCCCTGAAGGGACTTAGTATTTTGAAACAGGGATCTCTCACAGCAGATTTGTGTTCTTTCTTTTTTTATTGTATACCTTTAGTGAAATATATTGTATATACCATACAGGTCATCCAATTAAAGTGTATAATTTAGTGCCAGTAGGTGGCATGGTGGTTAAGGGCAGTGGACTCCCACATGGCCGACCATGGTTCTAGCCCCAGACCTGGCGGCTTGCTTTCTCAATTTCTCTCTTTCTGTCTCTGTCTCTCTCTCTCTCTTTCTCTCTGGTCAAATTGAAAAATAAATAAGGACCAGCAGTTGGCGTAATGGCTTTGTCACTGGACTCCCATGTAGTCGACCATGGTTCGAGTCCCGGACCTGGTGGCTTAAGCTCACACTGGGCGCATGTGCATACATGCCCAAGATCCTGAGAAGAGAATGGAGGAGAAGGGATTGTGGCATGGCCATCCCCCCTGGGGGGTGATTCATGCTTTCTCTCTCTGTCTCTGTCTTTCTGATGAGTGCACATGCCTTATAACAAAAACCTCTCCAAAGAAAGTAAAAGAAATAAAAATAAATAAATAAATAAAATTAAATAGAATAATTATTTTTAAAAAGTGTACAATTTCCAGAAAGAAAGTGTACAATTTAGTGGTTTTTTAGTATATTCACAGATACATGCAGCCATCACCAGTCAACTTAGAACATTTTTTAAAAGAATTGTTTATTTTATTTATTATTGTTATTATTTTAATTTGCTATAGGGCATATGTGCTCACCAGAGAGAATGAGAGAGAGAAAGTAAGAAAGCAAACTGCTAGGTCTCGAACTCGAACCATGGTTGGCCACGTGGGAGTTCAGCACCTCAACCACCATGTCAACTGCTGGCCCCTAAAACATTTTTTATCCCCTTCAAAAGAAATCTTATGCCTTTAATTACCATTTCTTTATCCTCTACATCCCCCTCCTCCAGCTGTAAATAACCACTAATCTATTTTCTGTCTCTGTCGGCTCCCCTGTTCTGGACTTTCATATGAATGGACTCATATAGTTGGAACATAGTGTTTTGAGGGTTCATCTGTGGTATAGTGAGAATCAGTACTTCATTTTTTTTTTTTTTTATGGCTGAGTATTAGTCCATTATGTAGATACTCCACATTTTGTTTATCCATTCATCTGTTGGTGGACATTTGAGTGTTTCCGCCTTTTGGCTGTTACACATAATGCTGCTATAAACATTGTACAGGCTTCTGTGTGGACATGTATTTTCATTTCTCTTTTGGAGCAGAATTGGTGGGTCATATGGTAGCTCTTATGTTAAATCATTTGAGGATCTGCCAGACTATTTACCAAGGTGTCTGCAGCATTTCACATTTCCACCAACAGAGTTTCCAATTTTTCTATATCCCAGCCAGTACTTGTAGTTATCTAACTTTTATTCTAGCCATCCTATTGGTTATAAAGTGGTATCTCATTATGCACAACACGCTTTCTTGATACTTGCAGAGTTACTGAGGGCAAGAGTTCTTTCTGTCTCTTGGATATGTTGTGCCTAGGTACTTCATCTTCTCCCCTTACCCCTCCCTTACCTCCTACTTTTTTATGTTGTTCAGTCACCTATCTCTTGCCCCTCTTTATATATCAGGTACGAGAGATGCTACGGATGAGAGATTCCAATGGAGCCAGGATGCTGACACTTATAACTGAGCAGTTTATGGCTGACCCTCGTCTCACACTCTGGAGGCAGCAAGGAACAAGCATGACAGACAAGTGCAGGCAACTCTGGGATGAGCTGGGTAAGTTCCCATCTCTCAAAGAAGGGTTATGTCTTACCAGCTTGCTCTCTGGCAAGAGTGTTAGTGAACACTTGCCTCTGTCACTGCCTGGCAATCTTGCTAAGTTCGTCTGATGATTTAGGTTCTACAGAGACCATCCAGAGTAATTGTGAACTTACTTTTATTACTTCCACAAGCATTGAGTTTTGGTATTGATAGCAACAATCTGTTTTAGTTGTTACCCCAAAGACTTTCCTGAGGGCCAGCCAGGTGGGATGGCAGTTAAGGAAGCTGGATCCCACATGGCTGACTGTGTAATTTTTTTTTTTTTTTTAGAGGATTTTGCTATAGGGCGTGTGTGCTTGCCAGAAAGACAGAAACCTAGAGGCCAGAAAGACAGAGAGAGACCTAAGAGACAGAAAGCGAGAAATCACCCCCCAGAGGGGATGGCCACGCCGCAATCCATTCTCCTCCATTCTCCTCTCAGGATCTTGGGCACGCGCGCACACATGCCTGGCGTGAGTTTAAGCCACCAGGTCCAGGACTCGAACCGCAGTCGACTACATGGGAGTTCAGCGACATAGCCATTATGCTAACTGCTGGTTCCCTAACTGTGTAACTTGAGTCCTGGACTCAGCAGCTTGAAAAACACACCAGGCTCATGTGCCTGTGTGCCCAAAATCAGGATAAGAGAATAGAAAAGGGATTGTGATGTGGCCATCTCCCCGGAGGCCACTTTCTCACTTTGTCTTTGTCTCTTTCCTGTGAATACATGTGCTATAATAGCAAACTAAAGGGCCCAGCAGGTGGCGTGGTGGTTAAAGGCACTGGCCTCCCACATGGCTAACTGTGGTTCGCCACCCAGACCTGGTGGCTTGCCTTATTACTTTCTCTCTCTGGTCAAATTAAAATAATAGTAATAATGATAGTAATAACTAAAGTTAAATAATTCTAAAAAAAGACCTTCTTGAGAGAAAACCTCTTTGCCTGGCTCTCCAAATACTTACCAGTATTACTTTCTACTTCCTCTGAATCTGCTCTTCTGTATCATTCCTAACCAGACCTTGGAGGCCACACTTCTGACTTTGTGTTTTGTACGTAGCTCACTTAATCTAGCTGTACTGACTAAACACAGGACAGTTTCTGAGATTTAAGCTTTGTCCTTTTGTTCTTTTTTTTCTCTACACTTCCTTGACAATTTTTGTTTTTCAGTATTATGGTGTCAGAGCATACTTACATGGTGAGCTCAACATTATCTTCTTTATCTTCTGCATTCTAGTGCCAGAGTAGCAACTGCCGAGTGACCATATCTACTGAAAGATCCAGAATGAACTCAGGTCTAAGTTCCTGTGACTCTGGCCTTAGCACTACCATTTCTCTACCAAACTTACTGTCAAGCACTTTATTTTCTTTCATTCCCTATATCTAGTCACCAGTTTCATTTGGTTCCCCAACCTTTAAAATTCAATTTAGTGTCCATGCACACTTTTTATTTCCCATAACCACTAATCTAGTTCAAGGCCTTGGACCTTTTAAATTAGATTACAACTGTGGTCTCTTGAATGGTCTGTTCAAGATTCTCCCCTTCGGGAACCAGCAGTTACCGTAATGGCTATGTCGCTGGACTCCCACATAGTCGACCGCTGTTCGCGTCCCGGACCCGGTGGCTTAAAACTTAAAGCCCAGGGCAGGCGCGTGTGCATGCGTGCCCAAGATCCCGAGAGGAGAATGGAGGAGAAGGGATTGTGACGTGACCATCCTCTCTGGGGGGTGATTTCTCACTTTCTGTCTCTCTGTCTCTCTCTGTCTGTCTGGCGAGCGCATGCGCCCTATAGCAAAAACCTTTCCAAAAAAAAAGATTCTCCCCTTCAAGTTAGTTATCATTTCTCTGTGCACCCCCTTTCTCCGAGGCAGTTTTGCAATACTAGTGCTTAACTGTTCTCCCTGTTTTTGGAGTCTTCCATACCCTGAACTCCCCATCCAGTCATGGCCCTATTTTTAGGTTACACTAAAAAAGTTCTAACATGATATATGTTTTAATAATTACTTAATTCCACTTGTTATTGTTATTATGAATATTTTGGAGAGTTTTTTTTTCCTTTTCAACGATTTAATAAAACTCATACACAGGTCAAAAAACTTCGTTATCGGAACCAGCAGGTGGCATGGTGGTTAAGGCACTGGACACTCCCACATGGCTAACCATGGTTCAAGTCCTAGACCTGGTGGCTTGCTTTCTTGCTTTCCCTCTCTGTCTCTTTCTGGTCAAATTTAAATTAATTAATTAATTAATTAATTAAATTTAATAATTCTTTAAAAAAAAACTTCATTATCAAACCAGAGTATCTGATTCACCAAGATTTCAGGTTATTTAAAAAGAATATTCAGATGGAAACAGTCATAAATAGGACTTTTTATTTGTCACTATTAAAAATCTGAACTTTAAACAGATTCTTGGACTTATGGTTCATATCCATCAGCTCGTTCAACTTTGGTGCCTCTCTTATTCCCAGTAGCTTTTCCAGAGCTACTACCTTCACCGTGAAGCTCCATGAGTTTTCCCAATTTAAACTTGGGCTTCTTTAGTATTTTTACTTTCCTGATGAAGACATCATGGAGAGGATAGATGGATTGGCAAGCCTCTTCTATGTCTTTTCCAATGCTGTCTAGAATCAGTTTCTTGACCATTTCTTTCAAGTAATTCTCTGCACCTCGAGTGATCAAGTCACAGTTTTGATCATCTTCTTCTGGATTTGGCGGACCTGCTGATGCTGGGCATAAGAGGTCTTCCGTATTTGATTGTTGCGATTTTTAGTAAATCCAACACAGAAGAGACGAAACAAATAACCATCAGTAGTCTTGACATTGACATGAGCTTCAATCATGGTCTGCCATTTTTTGATCATGGAACACATTTTGTCACCAGTGAGATTCATGCCATGGAAATTAGTCAGAAAGTTTTTGCCCTGAACGTCCTCAGTAATTGGCTTGAATTTTCTAAATGCAACTTTGTCATTCTGCAGATCTGCAAGGCTCACTTCAAACACACGGCCCTTAAGGCCATCAGACGCAATTTTGGTTCCTTGAGTCCTGGTAACTAGTGTTTTCCCAATATTTCTTTTGTTGAACATAGCAGATGCTTTCACATCCTACCAATCCTTTTTAGAAAATGAATCAGCCACTTTCTTCTTGGCTCCCTTTTTGCCGCCTTTCATAAGGGGCTTATTCTTGCCAGCCGCCATGGTGCTACTCAGAGAGCCAAAAGGGTTATTTTGGAGAGGTTTTTGCTATAGGCCACATGTGCTTGGCAGAAAGAGAGAGACAGAAAGCGAGAAATCACCCCACACACACACACACACTTCAATCCCTTCTCCTCCATTCTCCTCTCAGGATCTTGGGCACACACGCACACACACCTGGCATGAATTTAAACCACTGGGTCCAGCACTCAAACTGTGGTCGACTACATGGGAGTCCAGAGACATAGCCATTACGCCAACTGCTGGCCCCTATGATTATTATTTTAATTTGACCAGAGAAAGATAGAGAGAAAGGGAAAGTGAGAAAGCAAGTCGCCAGGTCCAGAACTTGAACCGTGGTTAGCCATGTGGTTATCTAGCACCTTCAACCACACTACCTGCCAGCCCCTAACACAATATATTCTAAAAGTTCAAATATAATTTATACATATTTTTCCTAGCATAGAAAGCAACAACTGTCCACTCATATAAAATACTACAAAAAGGGCCAGTAGGTGCCATGAAGGCAAAGGTGGCTGGATCCCACGTGGCCAGCTGAGCAGTCTGAACACTGGACCTGGTGACTTGGGAAACATGCCGGGCACATATGCCTACATGCCCCAAGTCCTGAGGGGAGACTGGAAGAGAAGGGATTGCAGCATAGCCATCCCCCTTGGGAATTATTTCTCACTTTCCCCCCTCTGTATATCTCTCTACAGTGAGTGAATGCAACAATCAGAGTAATATCTGTGCCAATCATGAAATTTGGCTACTGCAAACTAAAACAGAACAAAACAAAAACAACACATACAAACACAGGGAAAAAATGCAGCTTGGTATTTTAGTGAATTTTCCTGAACTGGAGCATTTATTTTATTATCTTAGAGCAGAAAACTTTGGAGAGGCAAGGCTTAATGACTGGATCTGTATTTGGTTATTTGGGGGCTGGTAAGCTTGGGTTTTTAGTTTGGGTGCTAAGGCTTTTTTATATCACCTGCAGGCACTGACTTTGGGGTTCTCATTATTAATGAGTTACTACATTATTGAATAGGTGTGCCAGTCTTTGTGTTAAAGATAATACTCACATTATTTAATTGTGTAACAACCCCATGAGGAATTTCTGTATTTACTATATAAAGAAGCAGAGACAGATCTAGTTACTTCTAGATACAGAATAAAATAATTATAGAAAACTGTTTCTGCTGTGACACAATCACACATTCTGAATCAAGGAGTGTTGCACTCTTAGTCTGAAGCCACTGGTCAACCAGTTATAACCAAGGTTACAGGGTCAAATAACATGATGCATGATAACTTGGGAACTACAGCTAATCTCTCTTCAGAAGGAGTTGTAGCTATGAACTCCCTTCCAGGGTAAAATAGTAGTATCTCCGTATTTTTAGGTGAGAAAACTGAACTCAGGAAAGTTAAGCATTTTCTTCAGGGTCACAAATTAGTAAATGGTGGCTCTAACACTGGAATCCCAGTCTGTCTGATTCTATTGTAAATCCAACATGTGTCTGTAACATCCTCAATTCTGTCTTGCTGTGTAAGCCCCATCACCTGCCACTACAGAATATATGTTGTTTGAATTTGGAATTAGCTTCTTCAAGAAAGTCAGTTTTATCTGAGGCCTGATTGTCCTGGAGTAATTTCTATGCTAATCATGGGATTGTGCTGTGGATTTGGGCTTGGCCTTTGGGACAAAGGTAGGGAAGATGAAGCAAGCAGAGCTGGTTCCCAGTGCTTTAAAGCTCTTGCCATGTACTTGGGTTCATTACT